TTTTTTTTTCAGTGCTGAGGATGGAACCCAGGGCCTCACCCGTGCTAAAGAAATGCTCTCCCACTAAACTGCATCCCAATCCAACAGAAAAGGCTACATTTTGCAAGCTTTCCAGGTAATCACTAATGGTTATATTCTCTAAAGATTTCTACCTGGATCACGTCACTGAAGAAAATTAGAACTATGGAGGTGTAAGCTTATAGGACTTGAGCTGCCTAACCCTGAACCCGCTGGGTCAGAAGAAATATACCTTCCCATTGCCACTTCTACCCTGAAGGGTGTAACTGCAGGGTTCACTGCACTTGCCTCACCTTCCCAACTCAGAGTAACAGCTGGCTCTCCATGGAGGTCACAGTCCTGCCCTGCTGGATCTCTTCACATCTCCAGCTCTGCATGAGATACATTTTCCATGGCTCAGCCTCTCTCTGTCCTACAACTTCAGCCATTTGGGTCCTCTCTGCCACTACAGCCCATTCCAGGCCTCGGCACTATTAATGGGTGATTGATAAAGGATGGTTCGATCAATAGGCAAACAGTAAGATCAGAGAGGTATCATTTCTTCTAGAACATTATTGATTTGAACCCGGCTCCCCAAAACTTAAGTAGAGAAGAATTAATCTAGTCTCCTCCATTTCTAATGCACTGACCTCTGTCTACATTTTCTTCAAATATCGAGGCTCTGCTACACATTAGACATTGTGTTCAGCTTTACTGGTGCAACAGTTCTCTCCTGACCTCTGGGAGGTCGTGGTCCATTGTGGCAGAAAGGAAAGAGATTGATTAGCGTTCAGGGTGGCGAGTATGATGTTAAGTCAGGCTTGTGACACTACAGATAAACAGGAGTCTAGAAAGGTTCTCTGAAAACCATTGTCTCAGAGAAATCTTGCAGGATATGTAGTTATCTTGAAAAGGTTTCTCTGGCAGTACAAAACAGATTAATATGTCCAAAGTATGCCACAAAGAGTAGAGAATAAAGGGATAAACGTAGATGAGCCACATCTTTCAAAGGAGCCCTGAAACTTACTTAGGACTTGGCACTGAGCTCTCTGTGTACATATACTGAAGAAAGATCCTCAAGGTCTAACAATGGGTTAATTTAGGTCGGCTATGAAGATCATGTACACCTTTTAATTAATGTAAATTATACAACTGAGAATTAATGCAAACATGTGTTCCTTCACAGGAAAATACAAGCTTGAATTCCTGAGTCATGGGTTAGATAGCAAAGGAAGAGAAGCAACATTTGCTTTAAACAATTAAAAATGTATGCCCAGATGAGGAAATTAGAAGATATATTCACCTGGCCTAATAGCCATATGAGGACAGAACTCATGCTATAACAGAAATAACATGTATTCATACTAGACAGGTAGGTCTGGAGAATATAACACGGCTTCTACTTAACACCCACTCAAAAATAGCTAGGGTCTTGCTCTAACTGGACTGGTATTGAGCAAATGTCTACAAATGAGGGCCAAGGTGCCTTTCATTTCTAACTTTCCTGTATTAAATAGTTTCTGCTCAAATGCAAATAACCTAATTTACTATTTATTAATTTTTTAAGTACAAATGACTCTATAATCACACAGTGTTTCACAAAAGTAAGCGAATGCTGTGGTCTTCTTGATGGTTTTCTGTTGTGAGATTCCGAGCTCCTCCATGGTCAGTGGTAAGCATGAAGAGGCCCCCAGTTGGGTTTCTAGGTAGCTGCTACAGTGGACCTTCCCCTATTCCTGATGGCCAGGATTCACTGTACACACTGTGGGCATGGAGGGAAAGGGCTAGAAAACTTACATGAATGAGTGGTAATGTAAAAAACTTATTGTATGTGTTGTAAGGTAAAAATACCTTGGATATGTAATTTTAAAGTAATCCAATAAAAGAATCCATCTCCCTCAAAATATCTCTTCTCACTTAAAACACACTTATCCCCGCAGTCTTCCCACTTTCAGAAGTAGTTTTGGAAGCCCTCTTTCCTGAGTGTCTTTAGTTGCCCTGGTGTGGCTGCTTCCATGTCCTGAAATGATTCAAAGCACATAGCTTTCATGGTCATTTTGGCTTTGGAGAAGAGAGTCCAACTCACGTGGTGCCCGATCCAGGGAATAAGGCAGATGAGGACACACCGTGATGCTTTTAGGAGCCAGGCTCTCTATTGGATGTCATTCAGCAGCAGCACTCACTGTACTTTTGATCGTGCCTCCTGAAGACACTCAGAACTGCTTCAGAAAGTGGCCAGAACAATGGGACGGCATTGTGTCTTTTTGCCGTCACAAACGTTTCTAAATGAAATGCTCCCCAAATATTTCGTTCACAACATGTAGAGGTTTTCTAGACTCTCAGTAGACATCTTCTGATCTGAGTAAAGTTTACATGAATCTTGAATCACTGTGAAACCAAAGGTTTTTATATTAATTTTTGTATTATAGCCACAAATTTGTCCATTATAGAACTCACGTTGGGACTTGGACACTCAAAAATGTCAAAAAGTTATTATGGCGCTTACATCTTTACAAATATTTGTGTTAACCAATATGATTCTTACCAAAGCTCCATAATTAACTAATCCAAAGTTGTATGCCTAGTAAACTAAGGAATCAGGACTCACATACACACTTTCTGATAGAAGAAAGTAACTTAAGTCTCCTTATGCTGATGATACTGTACTTTATACATTGTGAAGTTATTTTCTGTTTACAGAGCATTACAAATCTTTTCACATTTTCTGAAGTTCTTAGGCATTTAGATCTCCCTTTTCGAGAAACAGCTGAAGGAGTAGCTGATGTAATCTCTAGACAGCCAACTCATTTTCTATTTATATAGTAAATGATAGCCATATATATTTTTTTTCATTTTTGAAATTAAATCATACAAATGTATGACATACTGTGTGATAATTTGATACATGTACATCATGTGTAATGATCAAATTAGTATTTCCATTGCCTTCAATTGTGTGTGTGTGTGTGTGTGTGTGTGTATTACATTACAGTACTGGGGATTAACCCCAAGGACCACACTGCCCTTTTTATTTTATTGAGGCAAGTTCTGTCTAAGTTGCCCAGGCTGACATCAAACTCGAATACTCTTATGTAATCCTCCAGAGTAGCTGGAATTACAGTGGCATACACCACTGCATCCAGCACATTTAGAAAAATTTTTGTTTAACCCATCATTACCCCTAATAGTGGGTTAATGATCATTTACTATTTCTAGAAGGTTTTCTTCTACTAAATACACATCATAAGTAAAATTGCAATAAAAATACATCCTAGGGATCAATCTATATCATTTCCTTCAGAATTTTGGGGTCTATTATTTGGTTAAGGTGACTGTATCACAGTTCCATGATGTTCAGAAATGTGGGTCAGGTTTCAAAAAAGCTGTTGAAAGTCCAGGAGAACATAGACTTTCAGTAGTAAAAGTGCAAGACAAGGTGAGGTTACTCTCACCACGTAGTGAGAAGTCAGGCTCATGAAATCAAAAAGTTGAGACTATAGTGACGGTATCCTGCAGCGTGGTGTGTGCAGAATAGTATTAATTAATATTAACTTCATACTAATTCAAGTTGTTCCGAGTCATATAATTGCCAATGTCAGCCAAAAGTGAAACCAGTGAGCCTGAGCTACCCAAGATTGGAGATTTCCTGTGTCACCAAATCAGAATCATGAGCCTTTCATAGTAAATATGTTTGCACATTGGAAGGAGGGAAGCACTATTTCCGAGAAGCATGTGAATCTTCCAAGAAAAAAAAAAAAGTTGACAAAACATTGGAGAAAACACCTAGAATTGGTAATCATGAGGCTTAGATAGTAAGTTTTTCTTTATAATTCATTTGTGCTGACCTCTTTTTTATCTGTACTGGGGATCAAATTCAGGACCTTATGCTTGCCAGGCAGGTGTGGTGCCACTGAGCTACATCCCTGGCCCAAGTTCAAATTGAATTGTATTCTTTTTCTCTGTACAGGGGATCACACTCAGGATCTTGCCCTGCCAGGCAGGCAGGGTGCCACTGAGCTACATCCTCAGCTGTGGTGACCTCTTTTGCAAGCCATTTTATCTCCTCAGGATTATTTGATCACCTTAAAATCACATATCTGTCCTGCATGCTCTGATGGCTTAATGTGATGTTCATGTAAGAAAGCAAGCATGAAATTAAAAGCAAAATATTGAACCATGCATGTATGAGATTAAGTGATCTAAAGAATAAAAAGAAGAGTCAACAGTACAGATAAGTCAACAGAACAGCACTCATCTGGGAAGAAACATTTACTGTGGGCCATTAGATCAAGTAAGGAAGAGGTCGTTAGCCCAAGGTTGCTTCTTTAACTGAAGATCTTACATAAACATTCCACATGAACAGCCTGAACCCCAAACCAAAATAAATAGCAAAAGGAAACTTAACCTCTAGCTAAGAATACCCCAACAGTTGATATCCCAAAAATGCAGACACACAGCCACATCCAACTGTGTGATTTTACTACTTTACTTCTGTGTTCCAGCTACAAAGCTAGCTGTTCATGCTACAAAGAGCTCTGTTAACTTTTGTTCTGAGTGCTGCCTGATTCATTTATTGTTCTTTGTTCAAATTTAGTTCTTCTATAGTCCTTTTTTTTTTTTTTTACGTAAGACATAATGTACCGCACTGCACTAATATAAAGCACAGCACTAGACACTTCTCTTTCTTTCCTTGGAAGTGGGTCAGTATTCTTTCACTTATGAGAAAATTGAAGCTGAAAGTGAACAAACAGCTTTCTAGAAAACTGCAGGGCAGGAGTTCTGTCTAGATGTGTGGACCATGAAAAGCAATGGAAGATAAAGCAACTGGAAAAATCTGTCATTGGGATAGGTCAGTGAGAAACTTCTAAGTAGCACACAATTTGCTGTTAGAGACCTGGTGTGGCCACTGGAGACCTTTCAAGTATCCTATGGGTATCACGGGGACACAGAGTTCCTATTTCATGGCAGCTGAAGCCATGCTTTCCTATCCTAAAAAACCTACTTTGCTTCAGTTCTCCCACAGTAAGAAGCTGTGATCCTCTCCTTACAAACCACCGTCTCCCTCATGGTAGGAACCTATGAAAACAGAAAACGGGTAAATAATGTGAATTTGTGATCATCCTCAGGAAAACGACTTTGAAGTAACTGTTTTGTGCAAAGAGGATGAGATAAATCAAGGGCTTTTTCTCTGTCTTCACCATCATCATCATCACCAACACCATCATCATTCACCATCACCATGGTTTTACCAGAAAAATTCTGATCTTGAGCAAGTCTGCTTCTTTCACCATAGCGCCCTCCCTTGTACATAAAGTAAGACAGATGAGATCTGACTGTTGAATTAAACTGCTCTTTACTCTATTGCTCCTCCTCCATTCATTTTCACTCTTCAAAATTATATTTGTGACTCAAAGCCCAAGCCTCAAATACCTTCCTCAGTCAAGGGCCATCTTATTCCCAGGACTCTGAGGTGGTGAGGCAGGGGATGCAAGTTCAAGCCCAAGCTGGGCAACTTGGTGAGAGCCTCTCTAAAACTGTACAGATGCTGTGGAGGCATCTGAAGGACGTTGTGATTGTTTTTGTTGAGCGGCGGAAGTGGGGAGCTGATTTTCTGTCCTGTTCAACCATGGGTTAGCAGATACCCAGAAACCTTCCCTTCATCTGCAGAAAGTCCGTCCCTCGACAGTCTCCTCCTCCCAGGGCGGGTGTGCAGATTCAGGGAATGGGACGCAATCCTCGGGGCAGTTGCTTTCCTCAGCCCTCTACCCAGGCATCCGTGTACCTGTTTTATCCTGTTCGGTGGAGAATGAAATCTGAGAACGAGAAACTCTTCTCTTACTCGTTGTTAGGGGTTTTCCTCTCCAAGGAACCTCGTTGTCTAACAGAGGGCATCACCGGGTTTCGTTACTTCTGTGTAAATTTTGTCAAATTCGTGTCCGCCTGTACAAACTGCCTCCTGGAGCCTGTGGAGAAAGTTCAGCAGTGTACGCGTCATGGTCACAGAGACAGTGAGGAGAAATCTCTCCTCTTCTTCCGACTCCTTCATCCTCATGCATCCCTCCATGGCTTTGGAGAGAAGGCTGAAGTCAGAGTCATTCTGCACAAGAAAAGCATCAATTTTCAGAATGGAAGCCCACCCATTTCCCGTTTTGCCAAGTTTTCAGCGCTGGCACACAGTACGCCTGGATGGTCAGTGTACCGCGCCTTGCTGAACAGGGCTCTATTCCGGCCTGGAAGACATTCTGCAGGACTCCTCAGTTATAAGGGTGAACGTCACCGTGGCACTACCCCTTCTCTAAGAAGCACCACAGATCCTCCCCACCCCTGTTCCCTTTCGGAACATCCAGCGATTTGGCAGCTTTCCGCTGTGTCTAATCTACGAAGCTGTAAATACCCAACTTTGAAATGCTAAATGTGCTCATCAGACTTTTGGTGTCTTCTCCGCTAAACCATACATATGAAATGCATTTCGACACATCTCAGAAAACAGTCTGTCTTCCAGATTCTCACTCCCCGCAAGACAGGGCCCAAGCCTCTCATCGTTGCAGTTTTCAGCCCACACCCCCACTTCCCCGAGCCCCACGCACCCAGCTGCACCGTGTTAACTACAGCGGAGCGCTGTTAGGTTGCACTCCCGGAGCGGCCTTGTCTTAAAAAGATTATCTGTAAGCTCTGAGACATTCCATGCAGTGGTGTCCAAGCGTTGTAAGCTGACAGTCTGAGGCTGTGACGTTAAAGACTTCCTGTAGCTGCAGCCATGGTGAAGACAGAGAAAATTCAGGATGGATAAGATCACAGATTTAGAAATCAGACCCATTTCAGGTCTGCCACCTACAGGATGTATCGCTTGGGAAGTGATGTACTATTTCTCAGTTTCAGCTTCCTCATAACAAGAAGGCTCCAAGCAACAGGAGAGCTACCTGATAGGATATTTGTGAGTCTAAAGTGAAATAAAGTATATAAGCTATTCAGCATAGTATTTGGCATTTATTAGACATTCAATTAGAAGTTCCTGGCTTTAAAACAACTTGTATACATTAAAGGGTAAAAATATTAAGGCTGAAATGATTATTGAGGCCTCAGAAATGATGCTCCATTCTGACTGAGCTGGGTGGGTCAGAAAATCTAGAGTCAGCTGAAAATGTAGCTCGGTGGCAGAGCATATGCTCAACATGGGAGAGGCCTTGGGTTTGATTCTTGATTTCTGGTACACACACACACACACACACACACACACACACACTCACACACACACACGCTGGATGAAAAATACTCAGGCAGTGTTGCTTTAGGCATCCAAGAATAATTGCCTTATATCATGACTTGCATGTCTGTCTCTCCCACTGGAATACAAACCTTCTTTTATCCTATCTGTCATCAACTGGAGAAGGCCCTTGCCTAAGCATTAATGTTTAGTGTGCAGTCAGACCTGAGCTGATATTATCAGGGACAACTGCTTTTCCTCTGTGGAGATGGAAAGGCATGGACAGAGTAGGCGATGAAGCCCTTACATCATGCATGGCCCCCATCCTTTATCTTACTGAGTCTTCGCCACCATGGATGAGATGGGTCTGTCTGTCCTTCCTACAGTGCTTAAGAAAATGCTGAGGGTTCAGAGGCTTACTGACACTTGATTATGGGTCCTCCGGCAAGTGACTGAGCCTGATCTTTAGCCAGATCATGCTGAGTGTAAAACCCACTGAGTGATTGCACATCTATTCGCGATGAGTGTTAATGGGTGTTAGGAAGCTGCCCAACTACTAGATTGTTCATACATTGTAGTAGTAGCAGTAGTAGCAGTAGTAGTAGTAGCACCGGGGATGGAACTCAGGACCTTCATCTTGAGAGGCAGGTGGCAACACCACAGAGCTAAATCCTTCTTTTATTTTTTTTTCATTTTATTATTTTGTTTACAGTCCTTGCAGGGAACTTATCCCAAATCAGTGCAACTGACTCTAGAAAGTCAGAGGCTCCAAACTATTTTCATTTTACTAATCCACACATCTCATATGACCATAGATTACAAATCCTCTTATTCCCAGAGTTCAAGCCTCAGCATTCAAATGTACAAAGGCTGATTAAGAAATAAAGTATTCTTTTAAGTTTAAAAATAAAATAAAATGCAACTTACTGTTAAACCTCATCAAAATACTATCCTTCCCTTCTGACACACTTAGCCACTTTCTGAAGCAGTTCTGGAAGTCCCCTTTCACGGGTATCTTTAGGACGTGTAACCAGAAAACCAGGGAGTGTGGTGCCAAATGCCACCAGATGGAAAGGTGGGCTGGAATGAATGTTATGTTGTGTCCTCATTAACCTTACTCACTGCACCATGAAACTTCCGGCTCTTCCCCAAAGTCAGAATGACCTTAAAAGGCTCTGGATACTGAAGTACCTCTAACGGGACAACTAGACACACGAACTGCCTCAGAATGTGGCCAGAAACGTAGCGTAAGGATTTCTGACGCGGGGGGATTGTTTCGAGAGGGTTTCCTGGTAATGAGTGTTTCATCATAACAAGTTTATTTTAAACACGTAAGCACTCTCTACATATTTCTGTGACACCACATGCACCCTGTGTGACCTTCCTGATGTGTGATACACGTGCCTCCTTCCCCACATAGCTTGGCTGCTTGCCAGACTTTTCTGGAGGAAGAGGTCCTACACACGACACCGGCCCACCACTTCTCTAGATTTTGATGCTTAGCTGAAAAGGAAGTACTGACGCATGGGACCTAGGCATATCAGCTTCTTGGTGACAGAGTGAGAGTCTCTCAGGAGTGTGAAGCCTTCCCTGGGGAGTAAATGTCAGTAAAAACGGTGTCCACCTACAATATATGCTGGGGAGCTTGCTTCCCACAGACGTTCCTCCCACATGAGACTAAGGAACCAAGATCTTTGTGCTCAGTCCAATGACACAACAAATTTGTATTAACTCCCTGGTGAAGACACAGGAAGCAAGTTTAACCCATTTTCAAATCATCCAGAAAGCAGTCGGTGGACAGTCGGGAAAAGTTTTCAGGATGACAGTCATTTAGTTTGCGTTAGGAGAAGTTAGGAGGACCATCTCCCAAGTGTTTATTGAGAAGTTCATAATTTTTCCTAACTGAATTATAACCTGTTTCCATTTCTGCTTTCCTCCACCAGTCCATGGTCACCCTACAACATCTTCGATGAGCTTAGCTGATTTATTCTCTTAATGGTGATGGTGATTTTCTCATACGCATTCCTCTTAACCTTTTTGCTTGCTTCTAATCCTATTAGCAACCTCCCATTGTGAAACAGTAGTGCACTTCTATGTGATTTCATTTTTTGCCAGTATTCGACAAATTGTGACAGCTTATTAGTGATTTTTATGTCATGTGGCTTTAGCAAAATTGAACGCTAATAAGATGAGATTGGGTGGAAAATTATAGCAATAGGGTGCTTGCCTTCTATAGATTCTAGTTTGAAATGGGAGGAACCAGTATTTCTTCTACTTAAGACTGATTTCTGAGGCACAGACAGGGACAGTGTATTTACAATTTACACAACATAAGATTAAGGAGTTTTCACTGTTGGACAGTGGGACAGCATTGCAAATCATGAAGAAGATCAAGGAAAGCAGAGAGATAATAACCATTGAATTGTTGCATCTGAAGCCCCATTTATTTCTTTTCTTCCCCCAAAAAACAAAAAACAAAAGAGTAGAAAATGGAAAAGTATCACGGCAGTGATGGTGGTCTTATCTAAAACATACTTATTAAAAGAGACAGATTCTTTATTAACCAGTCAGGAGTCAAATGATTAAACAGCGTTTCTTGCCACTGAATTCCAAGCAGAAATCAATGTACATAATACAGTTGCAGCAGCTGAGATTGCAAAAGACCCAAGGACAGCATAAAGACTGATTTACTGAAATATTTCATCAGTGTAATGGTCAAGTGATAAAATACAACATTTTGGTGGAGTACAGTTTATATCTTCTTTATTTTGTATGTGTTAGAAAAGCTGCTTGCATAAACACCAGATTGCAGTATTCTTGTGGCAAAACCATAACTGTCCACATTGAACAGTATTGCCTCTATATTCAAGGCATTTTTTAAATGAAAAAAGTTGCTTTATGGAGAATTCTATATTGTCATTCAGCTGTGGATGGGGCTGCCCAGTGGAAATGGGGGTTCAGAGCCAGGATCATGACTAAAGGGTATTAAAAGTAGGGCCAGGTGCTCCTCGGGCCACCACACAGCAGTAAAGAGATGTAGGGGAATGGCTTGTCCTTAGTCTACAATTTCTGGAACCTCCGCTGGGATGGCTTGAACAATCCATGCTCATGGGTTGTCTGGGAATGCCTGGAGTCTTCTCCACGCCACCCTGATAGGGATGGAATGTCCCGGGTAGATTCTTTCCTCCCTTACCTGAGGAAAGAATAGAGCCGCTGTGGCTAGACAGGCCCAAATGCTAGACTGGATCTCCTAAGGTAGCATCCTTCCAGTTATCAGGGAGCTGGGCTACTCACATGGCCCCAAGAGCCCTAAATAGAAGGTTGGGGCTACTTATGAATGAACTAGCCTTGCAAGATTAAGAATCCCATGGTTTCTCTTACCAAGAAATCAAAATTATAAGTAAACTAAAGAATAAAATAAAAGAGAAAATTAGAATCAGGGAGATAGATCTTAGGGAATCGGAAAGGGAAGAAGATATGGAAGGGTGGGGAGAGACCACGGAAGAGTGGGATTTAAAAAAGATGATATTTTAATGACCTGCACCAATCTGCGTAATAAATGCAACATTTTGTATTGTAAACATTTATTAATTAAATAAAAATTTTAAAAAGAAGCCACTGAATGTGACTTCCACTATATGCTAGTGGCAAAAGGTTCCTAAAGCCAGCTTTGATACAAGCAGAGAGGAATGAGTTTCCCTGAATTTGTAGAATTTATGAATTGTATAACTAGAATGATGACAATTTTAAAGAGGACTGGTACAATTAAGGAAACAATTTTATTAGAGGCAGGCAGCAGAACCACTGAGCTAAATCCCCAGCCCCGACCATTTTATTAGAAAGACTAAGCTAATGACATCTACTCAAAGCACATAGTTTAACCTTCAGATTCCTCGTGATTGAGGCAAAATCAAAAGCAAAAACAACTTAATGTTCATTAACTAGGTCACAAACTGATGCTCGATTCTTAGTCAGGGCAAAGTTTTTCAATAATTTCCCAAAGTATATAAAACTTTTCCACACTCTGGGTCATCAGATGAGTGTTTTGTAAAGTTGCTTTCTTCCGAACCCTCTGTTTTGGTCTCAGTATCCTGGAGAGGAATGAGCTGCTTAGAATAGGAGCTCTGATGCAGAGGGTGGAAGAGCTGCTGGCCATGGTGGTGCACAGGCTTAATCTCAGCCCTCTGGGAAGCTGAGGCAGGAAGATGATAAATTTCAGTCTAACCCATGTATCTTAGTGGCTTAGCAAGACACTGTCTTAAAAAATAAAAAAATCTGGAGATGTAGCTCAGTGTGAAGGCCCTAGGTTCCATCCCCAGTGCTGCCAATAAAAGAAAGGCTGCAGAATAAAAAAGGGAAATGAGGAGATCGTATACAAACACAAAAACAAGGTGGGCATGGTGGGGACAAACTAGATGGACAGAATCCTAGCTGGCTCAGCCTT